TTTAGAATTAAAAAAATTTCAATACAACTTCAATATCATGAACCTTTAATGATAAAGTAGCTCCAACATTTAATCTTGACAAGTCAAATAGATTAAATAAATAAGTAAAAATAATAACATTTGTCAATTAAAAACCCTTAGAATGTGAAATCATTAATTAATTTAAAAATTCATATTTTTGGAGGATTTATCAAAACAATTTACAAATGTACACACATAATCCACGAGGGTAAATAACTAAATGCGACTTATGCCACGAAAACAAATGTAAACACATAGTTTATAAGGGTAAGTAACTAGATGCGGTCGAAACCACAAAACAGATATGGACACAATCCACGAAAGTAACTAACCAGATGTGGTCAAAGCCACGAAATAGATGTAAATACGAGACTCACGAATAACAGATGCGAGAACATAGATCATAAAAATCAAACTATCTAGTCATTGACAAAGGCACGCTAAAGGCTAACGAAGTTGTTGTTAGTAACCAGTGTTCTGTATAAAAGTCTCCTTCAAATCCATTTTCAAACATGCGAGAAAATTATTGCTTTCAAAATAAAATTTTCTCTTCTCAATGTCAAATGTGCATGAACTGTTTAAAACATCAATCCTTTTAAATATGAAAATTTACAACTAATGTTTCATAAATTTCTTCACCAATTTTCGTGATTGTCTTTATTGAATAAATGAGTACTAGAATTTATAAAAGTATTTTTGTCAATCTTATAAGTATATATTATGGCAACTTCAAGAGCTAACAAAATTTAATTAACAACAATAATAAGTGCTAGAGTAACATATGTTAATAACTGTAAATTGTTGAAAATAATATTTGATAAAAAAAAATTTGCAAATGAATAAATCAATTAGGACATTATTCACTTACTTGTAGGCTCTCTAAGTGTATAATTTACTTTCAAACTAGTTTTCAAGTGACAATGCTTGACCTTTTAAATTCCTATTACCTAAGTAACACTATCATTATTCATTTATAAACTTCAATCTAAAATTTTCAAGAAATAGCCCCAACAAATCTTATCTTTCACTTTTCTTAGACATTGAATCAACATTTCTTAAACATTTCAAAGACTATAAATAGCAAATTGGCTTTTACATTACCAATTAAAATACTCTTTCTAAATATCTCTATTTCTAATTCCAACTTCTTTTCAATAATAACTATACCATAGTCACTAATTTCTTAAATCAATCCAATTTATACTTTTGATCAATCAATCCCTTCAATACTGTATATATATACATGTCACACTTTACAACCCAAATATATAGCCCAAATTAACTCAGATGAGTAAAATAGGTAAATCCTAACTTCAATAGTTTTCAAATATTACATCAAATGTCCAACTAGTTACACATTACTTCCATAATCGTCAAATTTGTTTGTAATGCTCAAGTTAAACTCAAAATAACTTCACAATCAAAATTCTTCACAAAACTCCAGTTAAATCCATGAATAATTAACACCCAAGCCAAGTATATCCTTATAAGAGTTAATGAAATTTAAGAAAATTCATATCCAAACAAAACTCTTTCTAATAGACATATCATCAAACATCCCAAAGATATTTTAAGAATGAATATAAATAACGATTTGATTCTTGAATTACTAACTCAAATATTTTTCCCAATAACTCCTAAATTCTACTTTAACTTTTATCATCAAGAATAAAGGTCTCCCATATTGTTTAATTAATAATGAGATAACTATCACAATTATTTGCCACCTTAAATCCAGAATCTCCCTTTTTAAACATTCTATCAAACTTCCAGCTTCTATTAAATAGAGTAATTTCCTTCTAATGATGGTTTATGTAGTCAACAATATAATTACCATGCATATCAAAATGTTATATAACAAGACTACCTCTTAGTCATGTTATCAAACACCTTATGGACATTAAACTTCAAACTATTATTAAGCTTTTTCTTATCCAATTCCATTTTCAAAAATTTTCTAACACAAATATATAAATTAATCAACTTCCCAAGTTCTATTCGTTCAACAGAGACATAAATCTTAACTTAAAAATTTAATCTTCCCCTCCATGTTATTCATGCCAGCAGAGAAAGGAAAGAATAAATCACAATCTCACCTATTTAAAAACACACACATAAGAACAAACAAGGAGGAGGGAGAGGGTTGGATGCACTTGATGCAAGAGTAGATGATGAATGAAAGACCCAATAATAGAGATAGAAGAAGAGCCGTGGTAAAGAACAAAGGATAGGGGAAAAATCTAGACCTACTTGCACAACTACATAGACGGAGGAACGCAATCGACGTGGTAAGGAGATAAGAATAGAGCTTGGATGCTATCGTTTATAGTTGGAGAAGGCAGGAGCTTGAAGATAAATGGACTCACAGACTCAAAATAAACATAGAGGAGGGAAAATGGAAGAGAAAAAACCTAATTCTAGCGCACCTATGGTCTCCAGCGACTGACGGAAAGCACTATAGAGAAGAGATTGATGAAGGCGTAGAAGTATAGTTTGGAGCTCCTTGTTGGCGACATCAGCAGTGTAGACGATGAACGACGAGCTACTTGAGTCATGCTCGAAAGGACACTGTCCTTAAGAACTATTTTGATATATTAGGACGACGGACTAGCAGTTCCCTAAGATTAAACAAGCACTTCCTGTGAAGCAAAGAACCAGAATAGCAAAAACTAAAAATGAACTTAGATGAACAAAACAGCAGAAGCAAGAGGGAGGAGAGAATTGCCACGAAGATGGAGATATGAACATTAGCTCATAATCACTAGATTAAGGCTTTAGTTACACTCTCATAAATCACATTTAAACACTTGTCTAGAAACATTGAGGGGTTAAGCAAATGTAAAACACATTTAAGCTCTTGTTTAGAAATGTTGGGGAGACAAATACGTTTAGAAAATTAATCTAGTTAATAGTTAAAAATGTTCGTGGTTTAATTTCAAACTCTAGATAGTCAAAAATTGAGATTTTCTGGTAAGCAAAAAATAATTATTTATTTTGTAAAAATAATATGATAAAAGAAACCCATTACCTTTGAACTCGGGCGTAAGGGGGGCGAATTGATGGATTTCAACTATGATTTTCCTGAGTTATCCTGTCTCATGTGCGTGAGCCTACTTCTCCTCCAAGCCTATTTTATTAGCCTACTTTATTCTTTAGTATTTATATACTAGTAGAGTCCTTCATTTAATCAATGTAGGACTTTTGACACTCACACAACACTCCCTCCCTCTCACTCTCCTTGCTCCTCCTTTCTCTCGATCCTTCTAATACTCCAGGCTAAAGAAGAAAAAAATGGATTGATGCCTGTGTACGAATTTGATCTCTGATCCTTTTGTTTTTCATTTATTTTTTTAACCAGGGACAAAATGGTAATTTTTCATAAATGAAGTAAAAGTAATAATATTAACTTAGACACCATCAAGATTTGAACACAATAACTCTTGAACAAGAACCAAGAAAAATTCCACCAAACCACCAACACATCTTATTATTTTTCCCTTAATAATTAATAAAATACAATAAATTTATCTTATTATTTATTCTAACTTCATAACTATATTTTGGGTTATTACGATTTCTTCATCTCAATCTGCATTCTCTTCTTCTAACCTTTCAAGATGACTCAGTAGCTCATTAATGACTACTTTTGATCTTTGCCCAATATCATCATCATGCCATGAGAAGAAGCCCTATTCCCCTCCCTGTCACAACATGCAACTCGCGATAAAGTCCAGTTGATACCAAATTGAAAGAATTGAAATCAAATAACCTAGATACATTTATATATATTTGGTGATAATAGTGACACTTATAGTACCTTTACCCTTGATTGCCCTTTATTCATGACGTCTACCTTAGAGCCATGGTGCTGTAGTGACACAACCTTTGCTCACTATCATATTCGACATCATCATCGCCCTATTTATGCCCTAAAAAAGTCATCCTTCTTTGACTATTTCCTGAAAAGGATGAAGAAGAACTCACTATTGAGTTTGCTTGTAAAGCCATGAACCCTCCACACCTCCGAGCTTGTTGAAGTTGTCCTCTTTTTCCTTGGCGAGTTATGGATTTAGCTAGTGTTCGTAGGTAAGGTATTGGAGGGAGAATTTGTTAAAATAATTAATGTAGCAATTGCCTAAACCCTCCACCTCATTAACTATCATCCACGTATCCAAGAGAATGGGCCCCACAACTAGGTTTAACGAACATTTGCCTTGATTTAATGTTAAGGCAACAAGTTCTCAGAATAAAATACTTGAGGGGCAAGAATGCTATGCGAAAAATGTTAGGATGTTGAGTATTCCTAAAAAAAAAACATCAAGGATAAAAATGGACCTTTACCCTATTTATAATAGAAACTTCATAAATAATATTTAAAATCCATTTATTTATACCAAAACATTTGTTCATTTGTATAGTCTATATGATTTTTATGAGTTACTTAAATGAAATTTACAACAAAAACTCTATAAATAACATTTAAAATCTATTTACTTACAATAAACATCTATATATTTCACATAATCCATATGGTTTACCCTACTAAAGAAAAGAAAATTTACAAGTTATTTATATGAAATTTACAACAGAACATTCGCAAATAACCATCGAAGTCCATTTCTTTTTGACAAAAGGGTCCATTTATTTTATAATTAAAAGGACAATTCCATCTTTTTATTGAAAAATTTAATTGTGCAGGCCTAGAAAATTATTTTTGATTCTATTGAGTTTTTAATGCAAATATGTTGGTTTTGGAGGTTTGTAATGCAAGTAGGAGTATTCTAACTTAGTAAAATTCCTAATATTTCTTGTTTCGTTAAACGCAAGATCTTATTGAAGTCAAATTTGGAAAACTCACAATCCACTTTGTGAATTGTCTGTGAATATTAAGCACCTAAGAGAGGAAGGAACTTTCATTTGTCATAAAAAAGAGAAATTCTCTAATTTAATATTCCAAAATTGACAGCGTACACTCTCTATTACATTCACCAATGTATTTTATTGAATAGTGAACCCTACAATGAAACTCTCACTCTACTTCATTTCTTATCTCATTTGGACTGATTGTGTAAGAACCTAAACTCACACTGTTACACTACACTTCATAGAAAATTAAAGAATGGGAACAAAATAATAATAATTATAATAATAAAACTCACAAATATTTCTAAGGCCAAAAAAATAGAGAGAAATAAGATCAACGGTGACAGTTTGGTCCTAACACTTGGGAAGATCGGAAGGTGGAGGAGGCAGCTTATGATTGCGTTGCTTCCCGTCTTGCACAATCCAAGCCATCTTCAAACCCCAACTCGTATGAACTTCAAGGTGGCAGTGCATGAACCACACACCTACAATGCAAGTGTTCAGATTCAATTTAATTTAATCGTAATTGATTTAAATTAATCATATATGATTTACGGGTAATTTCGGGATAATTTACTCCAAATTTTGTATGTAGTAGTCAGACTCACCAGGATTGTCTGCAAGAAATCGCAGAGCAACCCAACCTCCGGAAGGTACACCCGCAGTGTTCCTCTCGATCGGGTCAACCAGATTGAATTTCTTCGGGTCATTTCTCGGGTCGAAGTTCCCGTTTCCTTGACCCACGATGAAGAAGTTGAACCCGTGAAGGTGAAGCGGGTGGCTCTCTGCTCCGATGATGCTCGTATCTTGTAGAACCAACTCAACACTTGTGTTGTACGGCAAAACCACCACCTTTGTCCCGCTCGTCGCCATGATGTTACTTGGTGGGGTTCCTGTGTAGTTGAATTTAAACGGTGGATTCGTCGGAAAATCAGTCGTGAATACCCCTTTGGCTTTGTTGAAGAAGTGGGCTTGAAGCAAGGCCGTGCTTGGCATCACGAACGAAATGTTGTTAATCGAAGCTGCTACTCTTACGTTGGTATTATTGGGTCCCTGGCAATTCTGGTTCTTCGAGCAAGGCAAAATCCCCAATCCCACGGTGAAGAAGAAGCGTCTGTCAACAGTTTTTGGTACTTTTGCTGGGAATTTCGCACTGTTCAAGCTTCGGACTTTTTTGTTGAATTTCATTGCGAAGACGGTGTCGTTGAATTTAGGAAGTACCGGTTTGAGCAGAGGAAGCTTAGTGTTGGGTTTTGAGAGTGAAGCTTTGGTCTTGTACTCGAGTAAGCCCGTGGTGGTGGTGTTGTCGAAGGCGGCTGGACCGGTGGCGTAAGGCCTGGCGGCGATGACGAAGGACGCGTTTGGATGTCTAGATTTGGCAGTGAGAAGGACGTTGGTGGTTTGGCCTGGCGTGATTAACAAAATGTTGGTCTTGAAAGGCTTCACGTACACAGCATCAGCTTCCACCACAGTGAGTGTGTGGTTCGCTATGCTGAAGAACATCTCATCATTCAGTGCAGCATTTATCAGACGTAACAGGTAAGTTTTCCCAGGCTTCACCTTCAGCTTAAACGTATCTGCATCATCATCACGCAAATTTATTACTCTTATTCACAGATAGAGACCCACTGGTTATCTTGTGTTCTTACCTTTTGCCGAGCAGTTGTAGAGAGGACCTGGGAGGCCATTAATGGTGTGAGCATCAGATATATTAGGAGCTGAACCTGTTTGCATTGCCTGGTTGATCACAGTCTCTGTGTCTGCTTTCCACCAGTCCCCTGTAAATACGTAGAGTCGATTCGCAGGTTAAATAGAAGTTCAGTTAGTAATTGGGATAGAGTCTGAGGGCTTCGAAAAATAAATACCCAATACGATGGGGACTTCCTTGAAAGGATGAGGGAAAGGGTAAGAGTCGTGTCTTTTGGGAAGAATGACAATGGGACCATAAAGTGTCGCTCTTAGCCATGAAATATGAGCATGCCACCACAATGTGCCCCTTTGGCCTGTCACAGTGAAGTTGTATAGATATGATTGCCCTGTTTGGATTGGGCACTGTGTGATATATGCAGGCCCATCTGCCCATCCACTCTTCAATTGCCGAACTCCGTGCCTGAAAATTTGACGATCCAAGTGTTCGACAGAGTTATGATTCAATCATTTACAGTGATTCAATGTGAGATTCTGCTGTAGAATTAGTACCAATGGATGGAGACATTGTACTGAACATGGTTCACCACTTTAATGACGAGCCTATCTCCTTCTCTTGCTACGATTCTTGGCCCAGGGAATTGCCCATTGACAGTCACAATGCTCTTTGTCTGGCAAAGCCTTGTGACGTTTTGCAATTTGATCTGCAGAATAGAAGATAATAATTTAGCTGAGGAAACAAAAAAATAAAAGAGGTCTAAAAAATAACCATGCAGTGCACGTACGTTGAACTTGTAGTGTCTGGTTACTCTAGCATGCTTTGCCAGAGTCATATGAGGCAACATCCACATAGCACAGAAAACAAGGAAAGTGATCACCTTGAAGAAGCTGCTTGAGGGAAGATAAGCAGAAGCAAAACCCATGCTTCCTTTTCTCTTCTGAATCTTCTTGTTGTGAAGTACTTACAGTGAAAGATTCTGGATGAAGAAAAGAGAGGAAAGTGAGGGAGCTTATATAGCAGGAAAAGGAAAAGGTGGGTTTGGATAATTAGGTGGTTGAAAATGAGACATTGCAGACTGGGAATGTTTTCAGCAACTAATCCCATGTTTGATCCAACTCACGTTAGCTTTGTATCTGGCAAGGTTTAGAGTAGAGAGGAATGAAGAGTAATGTTGAAGCCTTATTATATTCCTTGGACTAAATAAGTCAGATGCAAAGCATCAAAGTGTTGAGGGTAGTTTAGTGATTTCAGCACAAGAGTTTATTGAGTGGGAATGTTGATGAGAGGGAGAGAAAAGGATGGATTATCACAGAGGAGTTGCGAGGTAAGCCTCAGCCTCCAACCGTTAAGACTTGATAATCAAGGCAAATAAGGAAGGGGAGAAAAAGGGATCATGTTTTACAACCACATCGTTTTGTTAGCTGTGTCGGTTGTTGATTTTTTGAATGCCCAACAGCTTTTGATGTTACTGTCTGGTTTTAGGAAACTCTCACTTCTATTCTATTGGTTTCATCAACGTAGATCCATTAATTTGCATCACTTGAAAATTTTAGTTTGATTTCTTTGATCAAGTCTGCCATTTTTCCCTTCATGATAAATAGATGGCCAATTCATAAGAGCTGGAGTGGTTACCTACCTATTGAATAGATTGCGTCGGCATCAAATATATTCTTTTTATAATTTCATATCCTCGCCCCAATTAAAGTTATTGTAACGCTTTCGTTGGATTCGTTAAAAATAGGTTCATTAAGCTTGTTAAAAATAAAAATATTAAAATCGGAAACTTATATCTTTGTGAATAAATTTTAGGGAGAATGATGGTAGAGTTTTAGAAGATCAAATTAATAACAGTTATGTATCTAACAATTTTTTTTTATATAGAAAAATGAGTTGAAATATTGATTTAAACAATTGTGATAAAAAATCTTAATTATATAATGAAAGTTATATTTAGAAGTTAAATCACTTATTTATGATTGAAACTTCTAAATTTATAATTAGTTAAATCAGTATTTGTAATTTATTTTTTTAAATTTTATTAGAGATTTAACTATCATTAATTAATTCTTTTGAGACTTATCTATCACTCTTTCAAAATTTTATGAAAATAAATAAAAATGATATTTAATAAAACTCTCTCTCTCTCTCTCTCTCTCTCTCTCTCTCTCTCTTCTCTCTCTCTCTCTCTCTCTCTCTCTCTCTCTCTCTCTCTCTCTCTACTTGAAGAGGTTAAGTTGGGCTTAGAAATGTTCGAGCCCAACTAGTTTTATTTACTTTTATTTTTTAAATGATTTTTAATTCCTTTTTTGAAAAAAAAAAAATCCCCAAAACTTGACTAATTGTGCGAAGGGGAATATGTGTGATGCATGGTTAGATTTGATTACAGGTTTAATCTCACCTAAAGCTGGTTTTTTTTTTTTTAAATCTCAGCTAAAGTAATTTATAAAGATAGGGCTGCAAGAAAGTTAATTAATAGAGGAAAACTAATATCGACGTGGCAAAGCAAGTTGAATTGTATAATTCAGGATTCAGTTTGATGTCATGATGTAGGACTTGTTTAAGCCTGCACCGTTTAATCCAAGCTCGCCATGAGTTAGCTCGTCAACTTATAAGCCAGTCCTAAATCTAATTTAAATCCTAGTTGGTTAAAAAAAAAAATCTAATTAAATCCTAAATGGCACAAATCACAGACGGTCCCTCTTCCTCCGTCCTTTTAGGCAGGCTTCTCCTTTGCCAGCACGTCGTTATATAAATATTATTAATTTAAGTAACTAAGTATTACGTATATGATAAATTATATAGAATTCTTTTAGCCAAATAAATTATCTAGAACTAGATGGCATTGAATGTTAAGATTGAAGAGAGGATAGAAAATTTTGTTTTGCCTACATTAGAGAATCTTAAAAATGATGTGTTATTTTAAATGATTTAATTTAAAAATTCGAAGAAAAGAAAGACTAATTTGTATATATAAACAGTATAAACATTCCGTTTTTATTAATAAAAAAGTAATATTATCTCCATACTAAATTATAATATATTTTGATAAAAATAAAATTTTATTAATTATATTTTTTAAATATTATCATTCTCATTATATTTTCTTTTTTAATATTCTTTCACAAAGATAATATTAAATAAAGAGAATTTTTAAAATTTTATATATTTTTAAAAAATAAAATTATAAAATATATTTAATGAGTTTTATTGACATATATAATTTTATTTAAAAATATCTTATAAATTAGAATTAAAGGAGTATTAATTAAGAAAAAATTTTAACCAATTAAAAAATCTATTTTATAATATATCACATATAATGGGTATATTATATGTAAAAGGTACATTATATATATATATATATATATATTCTAAAGGATAGGGTTTGTTTTTTTAACCCTATCATATACACACACAAAGGAGGTGGGGCCCCCCTCACCACTAATGTGGTTCCGCCCCTAATTCTCATTATATTTCGGGGCAATGCCATATATACGGAAGGATTTGAGAAGAGTCTGAGTTTTTAATGATGTAATTTTCTCTTTCTTCATTTTTATATGATTAACTTTTTCTACCCACACCCATCAACCCACTACCCATCAAGAGCTATCTCACAGTTAGGGGTAAAAGTAGGTTAAATTAAATTGAACTTTAGTTAAATAGGTCTGAGCTTGTGTGATAAATTTAAAGACCAAAACTTAATCTGAAATTTATATAAAGCTTTTTTTATGGTTCAAGCTTGAGCCTACCTAAAACCTGATATAACTTAAAAACTTATTTAAAAACCTACTTAAAAGTAAGCCTTTTAAATAGACTCACATTTTATTTTTAAATATATCAAATATACTTTAGGACTAGTAATATAAATATATAACATAATTTATCAATTATAATATATAATAATTAAAAGTACTTATCAACTATAATACAATACGATAATAAAGTAATAATATTAAAATTAATATATAAGTCCAATATAATTAAAAACATAAATAAAATTAAAAAAATAGATTAATTAAAAATCAAATGGTGAAATTGATTTATGTGTGTGTATATATATGTAAATAGGCCAGCCTGTTATGCTTGTTGGTTATGCCTTGAAAAATTAGGTTTGGCTTATTTACCTAAATAAGTCTAATTAAAAGGCTTGAATTTGGCTTGAGTCTAGTTAGTAAATAGGCTAGGCTGAGTTTGAAATAAGCCAAGGTGTAAGCCCTTGATAGGGGCCTAGCCTATTCTCACCTCTATTCACAACATGCAGATAGCTTCTTTTCCCAATTCTAAATATAATCTCAACATTTTTAATAAGGATTCAAACAATTAAATAAATCATATTTTTTTAAATGATAATTGAGGATCCATAAAATCATTAATTATAATTAGGCTTGAATTAAAATATCAATAATGGTCATGATTTTTACTTGGAATTAAAAATATGTGAGTTTACAAAATCAACCTCACTAATAAAAAAATGACACTACTAAAATTATTATGATGAATTGGGACTATTGTTAATTTTAGTTGAAAAAATTAGAATCCACACTTGGAAATAAATTGCTTCCTAGTATGAAACTAAAATTCACTATTGTTAAACTTTTGAAAGGCACTTAGGAATGTACGATAGTCATTTAAAAATTTTCCAAAAGTGAGGCAAACCACTTAAAAAATCAAGAAAAAATAATATTAAAATTATTATTATGGGTTGGTATTATTGTTATTGTCAATTGAAAAAATCAAGATCCCAAATATTATGGGTGGGACCACTGGAATTATGATTAGAGGTTAGGATTATTATTAATCTCATTTCTAAGTATAGATCTTAGTTTTTTTAATTGAGATCAACAATAGCTCCAACTCATAATAGTATAATTTGGGTATATGAGGATAATTTTATAAACTCATGTTTTTTATTTTAAGTAAGAATCATAGACAAGATTTTTAATTGTAATTAATAGTCTTGTACGATTCGTAATTGCATTTTTCTTTTTTTTTTCTTTTTATTGTTCACACACATTTTTTTATTTGAGCAATCCTGTTTGAAGTATAATCAGGACATTAAATTTGGGCAAGAGAGTCAACAAAAACTGTAACATAACCAGTTGTATAATGTATATTAAGCAAGCAAAGCGTGAAGGAAACTATCTCGAAGTCTTGCTAATTAAATAAATTGTAATTGTAATTTTAACAAGAGAGTCAACAGAAACTGTAACATAACCAATTGCATGCTAAGCAAGCAGAGCGTGAAGGAAACTATCGAGAAGTCTTATCAATTTTGTAAATGAAATTCTCAAATAATACTTTGACAAATTTTCCCTTGTGGAAATTTATAGATGCTTTTTGGGGTATAGGGATCTATAATATTTGATTATTTACATGTGGAAAGCAACAAATACTTTCTTCTTCTTCAAGGAAAGAGAGAAGGTAAATTCAAGTAAGAAATGATTTAAAGAGTTAGATCTATAAATTTGTGTTTAACGTATAATAAACATATACAAGGACTAAACATGTCTTTTTTTTTTGATAATTTGTATTTTCTCTCTTAATTTAAAAATATAATATTTCACGTATTCCTGACTAGAAAAATAAAAAATCATGAATCTGCTTCCTGGTCTGCTATTCTTGAAACTGCTGAATACGTGCCAACTGCAGAACACACCGCCCCCACAATGATAATAGACATGCAACTTGCCACCTATAAAAAGAAGCCCACAAACTTCATTTCCTTCAAACTTTTAATTTTAAAACATACGAAATATAACTTCTAGTCTTGGTTGTGTGTTTTTAATTATTGATTCAGTTTTTAAATTTTAATTTGAAATAATTTTGTCCTTATACTTTGTTAATTTGAAATAACTCAATTTTTATATTTTTTTGATTTTGTACAACTTAATTTCTATAATTTTTTAATCTAGTTAAATTATAAGGTATTAAACTATACTAAGTTAAATTTTAACAAATAAATAGTTAAGAGAAAGTTTAACACTTTGAGAATGAAGCTGCTTAATATAATAATGTGAACAAAGAAGATGGTTGACTTCCTACCTCTACTTTTGACAATCGGCCATGGTGTAGCTTGAGATAACATGCGCATGGGTAAATAAGTGCCTGTCACAACACACACATATTTCCTAATTGCTTCTTTCATAACTCGCACATTTTTAAAGATGAACATTTGTGTGTATGTACTAATTAAATATATAAATTTTCTGTAGTAAAATGCACATCTTACATATATAAATGTGGTAGGGAGCAGAGAAGTATATACTTACAATTAGCATTGCCATTGAAGAGCCCATAAATGCCATAATAGAACCTGAAGTGTAGAAGATACTTCCTAATCAATGAAATTATGAGACTTGGCCTTGAAAATGGGTTATATAGCTTATAAGTTTATCATTTAAAGATCTTAAGTTCAGTTAATTTTAGCCACAGATACAATTAATATCAAACCTATATGTGTTATAAAGTAATGATAAAAGGAATCAACTACTTAAGTGGTAGCATCAACAAAAGAACTTTATGTTGAGATTGATGCATGCAGAATTAGAAATTTGAATTTAGATTTGAATTTGAGCTAAATCCATCATTTGAATCCATACCAATTGATAATAATTCTTTTGTAATTTCAAATATTTTTTTTCCTATTTTCATTTCATATCTTCCTTTTTTATTGTCTTCGAATTTGAAAATTTTTATACAAACTAAAATCTTAATCCAAATCCACCCAATATTCCAAACTCCACTTTAGTAAATTCTAATCAAGTTAATGATGACTACATACTATATGCAACATGTCATGCTGATCTGAGATGAAGGTGGCTAAAATACCTACCGAAGAAAGGAATAGAGAGGGCCAAAACCAAGTTTGTGAAAACTAAAACTGTTCTGATAAAAACGGACATGGAATAACATCTTAGCTGAGCTGAAGGCAAGAGTTCCTCTATGCTCAGTGCCACAGGCATTAAAGTGATGGCATATTTGGTCAAAGGATTCACAACCTGTAACATAACATATATAACATATTAATCCTTGTAAAAAATTATCCTTTTAATATATATATGTATATGTATATGAATACAAGGGGAAATTACACTTTTTCACTGTAACCTTTGCCTCCAACTGTATTATCTACCCAATTTCTAGAAAGATATTTAGTGGTCCCCTGACTTGTTAATACTATGCAATATAATTCTCGTCTTAATTAGACGATGTTATGTCTTAGTCCAATGCAACGTAAAGACATTCAATGTATTGACTAGTATCGGCCTAAGATTACAATGGAGAGAAATTAATCCAAATTGAAATAGAGAATGAACTAAGTAAAGGAAAATTCATCATTTCTCTGATTGAGGAAAGAGGCTATGTGTCCAGCTCAATCAAAAGAAAATATAGTGTTCAATCTAGTATTTTTTGGCTGATGAAAATCTTGTGTAGGAAAAATTCAAGAAGGGTCAAGTTAGAAGGAAATTAATAGTATTTGAAACATAATGCTCATGTTGTGTTCTGACTAAAAACTATATAAGTTGTTGATAACTATCAGATTTAACAGTAAGTTATAGTGATAGCAATAAAGAAGCTAATATACAAGGGAATCATTGCAATTAGAGGCAAATGTCAAGGTGGGTAATTGCTATTTCATTTAAAAGTTGGGATTTGATTATCTTACTGTTGTCCAGGCTGCAATATTGGAAGCATACAATTCTTTGGGCATGTTTAAAGTAAATTGAGATTTGATAGAGTCACCAAACGTTAAATAGCCCAATGCCGCAACTCCTATGTATATAACCAAGCAAAAGCCAAAGCTGCAAAAACCAGAGATACATATCAGCAGCTAACAACCTCATATAAATAATTAATTCTAGTACCGATTAATTCTATGCCATACCTGGCTGCTAAAACAACTGAAAACTTTGATGGTTCCCTCATGGAAGAATATATATTTGGAAAAACTGAGTGGCCTGCAAAGCAAAAACTATAGAGACCAATTGAGACTGATACATTCTCAAGGTTTATGGCTTTTCCACCTGGATGAAATCCAACTTTGTCTATCACTCCAGCCCATAGCAAGCATGTAGTCACCAATATCGATGCACATATTCCTCCAACTGAATAATGCTAATACATCATTAGTGAGGGCTGTTAATTAATAAACTTTAATTTTAAGGAAGAACTAGTTAAAGAAAACTGCACAAGGCTAAGAAAACCTGAAAGAAACGAAAGCAGTTTAAGGTTTCGTAAGCAAATTGTCGGCAGAACACAGAGAGCTGATGCGATGGTGAAAACTTGATTAGTGCTTAAATTAATCCCAGCCACTTTCAAGCGGGTGTTGGGAAAAAGTGATGAGAGGTTATCACTCATTAGGATTATAAACTCAACGCAAGCAGCCTGCAAACCAAAGCTGAGAAATCAATATAATGGAGCAAAACAATATAGCAGATGACTTATAATATATATAGGGGAATGAATTCTTCCATATACTTACATATAGTTCCATGTACAAGATTAGCTGCACATGTAAAAGAAAGATAGTTGTCAGTTTCCTTGCAAACAACATATTACTGGACAAATTAAACTGACAAACAGATGTTGGAGAGCAATATGTAAACCTATAAGCAATCAGTCATGCTCTTCTTTGTCATGTTTTTCTTGCATTTATATAATATCTACTGACACAGTTTTTGAGTGAAAGACAGATTTACATAAATTTCCATAGGTGTTAATCTTCAAGTTTTAAAGCAAATACATTGTATCTGGCCACAAGAATTTTGTTTCAAACATCCAATCATGTAATGTTGACCATGATCTAAAAATTTGTCATGGGGCCAGTAATTAAACTCAAGAAAAATTTTATTCTTGTCTCATTACTCACCGCAATCCCCAGGCGACCAGCTACTCCAAACGCAGCCTGCCCTATGTCAGGATAAGTATGGAGTCCGGGAGAATTTTCTAAACATCTCTTCAACAAGATACCAGTATAGCAGCATATGATGGCAAACATGAAAAGTATTATCAGACTCAACCATCCACCTTCTTTTACTGCATAAGGCGTTGTAATAAGTCCTATTCCACACAGTACATTGGCTCCTTCACACAGAACATAAAAAAAGTTGTTTATAAGTTGTACGTCAGAGATAACAAACCAGAACATTAACGTGCACCAGAACAGCACGCTTTTTTCTGCACAATACATATGATAGTTTACCATTGAGGATTGACTGTGCTAATGATGATTGTTCTAGAGGTGGTGGCAATTCACAACTAGAATATTTAGAGAAGTGAGATAGTCGAGACATTATCCTGGAGCTATTGAAGGTAGGATCCTCTTGTATCAGTGAGATCGTTTCAGGAATGAAGGCTGTGTTTAAATCAGAATCATCATTTCGATGCCTCTTGGTTGGTGCAGTAATAGGAGAGACTGATCGACTTAATAAACTCATTTGCCTTATCAAACTCATTGAAGGTGGTGTTACACCGGTTAACATGTCCATAGATTGCCTGCAAAAATATTCAACAAATCAGGGTTTGGTCACGGCGACAACAAGTCTTTATATCATTTACAGGATTTCATACTAGACGTGCAACAAATGAAACTACCGATAGGTTTGAGGCCACGAGGGACTACCGACGTCGTCCATGTCATTGGAAAAATTGGGTTGGGAAATTTCTGAATCGGTCTCCGAACTCAAATGTTCAAAAACCCTATCTGCTAGGTTTTCTTCATCATCAGTCTGGAACTCAACCTCACGATCAGGACCCAGATCATCGTCGTCTATCTTGATCCTCATACTAAAATGGACGTCAGCTTCTTCTTTACAGAAACGTGAGAGAGAAAAAGAAAAGGAGAAGAAAGGAAAAGAAAAGAAAGATCATGTCTCTTGAATTAACCAAGGATAAAAATATATATATTGTGGATATATATTAACTTTGGCATGAGTAAATACTGTTATTTAGTGTTCAAGAGGGTTGCTAGAATCCGAGTTAATCGGAACTAAGTGAACATCCGTTAGTAGTAAGTCATTTTTATTTTATAATATTGTCTCCAATATTTTTAACCAAAAGACTTACCATTAATAGAAAAATATTACAATTACAATAGAGAAATGGGGCATTCAAATTTAATGTTGGCATCAAACTCAAGCACATGAATGCAAGATTGGCTCACCAATATAATAAATTGAGTAAGCTAAAATAGGATGTTTAATGTTAAATCTATCTTGTAATCCGAGAAAATTGTTTAGTTAGCAAGTATTGTTATGTTTTTAACTGAATTATACTCTCAACAAGTTAGTTGATTATATTTAAACTAATATCCTCTTTTCATATTTATTTTTATTTTATATAAGAAGTTTTATTTAAAGGTAAATGGTTGAGTGTTTTATTTATTAAGGTTTTTCAAAAAACTTATTAATTATACATTAAAAATTACTAAAATATCATACATTTTTAACATCCAACATCAGAAAAATGCTTTATATTTTTTGATGGAGTATCTTTGCTTTATCGGAATAAAATTTGCTCAAACACGCTTTCAATTCCTTTAAAATTTTAAAAAGTATATGAATTGAAGATTTTGCGGATATTTTATAATTTTAATTTGATCCCTCTACTTAATTTGCAGGTTTAAATCCTCTAAAGTTGGAATCTATGAATTTTAATGAAGTTTTCCTTCTAAAGAAAGAATATTTTATATTTTATAAAAAGTAATAAAATGATGAAAAAAATAAAAAAAAGATAAACTCTATTGAACTTCATAGATACCAATTTTAGAGGATTTAAATGCCTAATTTAATAATGATTTAAATGGTAACTTGAACCTAAACTATATGCTTTTGAAACCTAAATGCATATTTAGTACATTTTAAATCTTCAATAATTAAAACCGGCACAATTTTGCTGGTAATTTCAAGTAGACTATGTTGATTGCGGGCACATGAATTTAATTTTCTCTCTCTCCCTGTCTCGGGCTCTCTCCATCTCTCTCTCCTCTCTTGCTTTGCCATGCTGAAGAAGAAGACAACGCTCTATGACCTGTACAAATGACCAACCCCCATGTCTTGATCTTGGCTTTGTTCTGCGTCTAGTCCCCAGCACGCGATTCTGGATACAACAAGCTTTGAGGACAACACAGTCAATATATTAATTAATTTCTTTTTTCTTATCAACTACACATGTTGAGGCTTGAGCTAAGCTAACCGTGAGTCATCAGTTCCTTGTCATGTGTTAAGGTTGATGCTCAAAAAGAGGTGCAGTGAACAAAGACACGGAACCAGGCGAGGTCCGAAAGAACATGAAGCGAATGAAAGAGAGCAAACCAATTTGACTTGGAGAGAGACTGAACATGCAAAGTTGCAGCGGCACCACCCATGTAGTAATATCGCCCATGACTTCGTACTGTACCTTCATCTTTCGTCCCCTTCCCCTGTTGCTCTCTCCGCCACACCTTCACCGTTCGGTCCGCGTTGATCGATTCCAAGCACATGGAACCGGACAGCTTCTAAACCTTTATGGTTCGGTCCCACGAAGCCGAATACAGAACCGTACTTGTCCATGCTCAAGCACAGCCACGGTAGTGAAAGGAGGAAGATCTTGTGGATCAGAAGAGGAGGTGGTGGGAGGTTGGTGATAGTAGGAAATTGCACCGCCGAGTTTTGGCTGCTCGGGGGAGGCCTGCATCTGGCGCTGGCGGCTACGGGATCTGGAAGCAGTCGAAGACGTTGGCGTCCCGACTGAACCGAACTTCTTGAGGAGCTTTCTGATGCGGATGGTTTCATCATCAAGGGGTTAAACACGCGAGGAGAGAGCTGTTGCAGCGTTACTACGACAGAAATAAGAACTAATAGCATACATTTCAGAGTAATAAAAAAGCAAAACATGACTAATATTAATTCTAAAGATATTTGGTGGCATTTTTTTTATTAAATGCCATTGTTTTAAATTATTTTTTTATTTTTAATTTAAGTAAATAGTATTACGTGGCGTTTATTAAATGAAATACCAGAGTTTTGAATTCAGAAACATTATTGATAGTAATTTAATAATAAAATGCCATTTATCTATTTTGTTTAACTTACCTATATTATTTTATTAGATCATATAATAATTTAAACATAATTATTTACTTTATTAATAAAAAATATATATTTATAATTAATTAATTAATATTAGAGAGGTGATGTTTCTAGGATATAGAAACGCCACCTTTCTTCTTTTTAATATATACATTTAATAAATTAAGAGAGTTGACATTTTCAATAACCAAAAATGCCACCTCTCTTTTTATTATTAAAAAATTTATATTTATAAATAATTTTTTAATTATCTTAAAAGAATTTATTAGATAATATGAAAGATTAATTATTTAAAATAATTTATTTAAATAAATAATAATTGTTAACAATACATGTGGTTTCACCTCTTTATTTTAAGACAAATTTTATTTTCTTTAATAAGTTATTGATTTAGTTATTTGTTTATTTATAATGAATAAATAAAATATATTTAATAAGAATTAATTGCGATATTATACGAGTAATAATTTAAATATAATTTAAGTACTAATATTTTGAAATTAATTAGTTTCATATTATTTCATAATTAACATAATATAATGTACTTATTCATTAATCATTATTGGATGTATAGTTATTTATATATTGTAATAAATTAAATTAAATTAAATATATATCCTTAATAATTATTGGAAGAGAGTTGGCATTTTTATAATTTAAAAAGGCCAGCTCTCATATATTTATATTATCTTTATAATAAATTTTATTTTATAACAAAATATAATTATTTAAACATTTTAAATTATAAAATTTCATAATAATATTTATTTTTAAATAAATATATGAGGAGAGGTGGTGTTTGAAGGTTTTAGAAATGTCATCTCTCTTGTATTGTTATTATTGTTATTATATTTTTTAATATAATAAAATATTTATTTATATATTTTATTTGAAGAAATTATATAGTAATATATTTTTTAACAAGTATTGGAAGAGATAGGGTTGTGCAAAAGTCTTCCAGTCCTGTCTGGTCCAATCCAATCCAAGATGGTCTCAGTCTTGTTTGGTTTGTATAGTCACTGGTCCTTCAGGACCAAAAGCACTAAAAAATTAGACTATTTCTTTGGGTTGGACTGGACAAGAGATCAGGCACTCAGACCACTTGGTTCAGTCTAGTCCTATTAATTTCTTTTATTATAATTATAATTAATTTATTTTTGACAAATGTTTGAAGTGTAATTGATGCTAAGGAGATGATTGTATGAAAATTTGTTAAGTTTGTTTCTAAATTATTGTTGTAATATAGTATTGTTGAATTTTGTTGAGTATTGTTTTTGTTAAAGTTATAAATTTAAATAATTGAGATTATAACAGAAATATTTTTTCTTATTGTTAGAAATTATTATAGATTTATTATTATTATAAGTATGTTTACTATCTTAATTGAGTTTATTATGTTAGAATAGATTATTGCCTCTCATAGAATAAAAAGAGAAAAAAAAGCTAAGTGAGTACTGGACTGACAGGACCAATCTTCCAGTCCTATGGATCAAGTCTGATCTTATTAATCTTCGAGTTATCACTAGATAAGATTGAACTTCGGGTTAAGGTGAAATCTAGTGCCATCCTGTCTTTGTGCAGCCTTAGGAAGAGAGGTGGTGTTTTCAAGAGTTAGAAACGCCATCTCTCTTATATTTTTATTATTTATGTTATTTTATAAAATATTTACTTTTGTAAAATATATAATTTATATAATATAAATATGAATTTATGTTATTTAATTATATATTTTATTAATAATTTTTTTTAATTAAATACATTCGGAGAGGTGGTGTTTCTGTATATTAAAAATGCCACACCTCTTATATTTTATTATTTTTATTTATATATATATATATTTTAATATAACAAATATTTATTTATACATTTTATTTGATGACATTATTTAGTAACATATTTTTTAATAAATACTAGAAGAGAGGTGGCATTTCCAAAAATTAGAAACGCCACCTCTCTTATATTTTAATATTTTTGTTATTTTGTAAAATATTTACTTTTATAATATAAATAATTTATATAATATAAATATATATTTATGTTATTTATTATATATTTTATTAATAAATTTTTTTATTACATAGCTTCAGAGAGGTGGTGCCACCTCTCTTATATTTTATTATTTTTATTATATATATATATAATAAAATATTTATTTATATGTTTTATTTGATAAAATTATTTAATGATATATTATATATTTTTTAATAAATACTTTAAGAGAGGTGGTATTTTTAGCAATTAGAAACACCACCTCTCTTATATTTTTAATATCTATATTATTTTATAAAATATTTACTTTTATAACATATATAATTTATATAATATAAACATATAGTATTTAATTATATATTTTGTTAACAATTTTTTTATTAAATATCTTCAGAGAGGTAGTTTTTCTTTATATTGAAAATGCCATATCTCTTAAAAAATTATTATTTATTTTATTTGATAACTTATTTCATTTTATAACATAAATAATTTATAATAATATAATTAATTTTTATATTTTAATAAAAGTTTGTGATTTATATATATTTAATAATTTTTAAATACTAAATATGTATTATATATTAAATATATATAATATATAAATGGCTGTCTATTACTAGGATGGATATAACATATGTATCATATCCTAACTTAATTAATTAGTTGCATTGGATATCAATGGCTGTCTATTATTTGATTTGATGGATGTAAATGAATATAAATAGGTA